AAAAACATTAAAACCCATTATAAATGAGGCATTTGTTGCATCCAGTGGGGACAAAGTATTGATAATCATAGTATTGATTATAATGACTTATACTGTCTTTTTATGCGTTGCGTTGCATCGTGTCGTGTAAACATAAAACCATGTCTGCATTTGTGATCGGAGAAATGACAAACAACAAGTGCTACTCTACACTGCTCAAAACTCGTGTTTGCATAGTCAGTGGCAAATTCTTTAAATATGAAAACGTACTTACGAGTCAGAACAGCCGGCATTGTAGTCTACTCTCCCAGAATCAGGAAACAGTCCTCCATAAAATGTGCTGCACACATCTGAATATTTGGGTTGATCTGTTCTGGAACAGTGTTGTAAATACAACTTAACCACTGATTTCTAGTCGTGTCCTCTTTTGGAAGGCCAAACAAATTATTTTAGCTTTTGCAACGACACAGCATCTTCATGACATGGCGGCGGTGGTAGCAACAATAAAGTTACGCCTTCTTTCTTTGCGTGAACATTTGGGTGGTGTTATGCAAATCTTCCCACACAGTGATGTAGACATGTGGGGCATGTTTAAACGAGGCGTTTTAGGAGGGCGTGGACGATAACGTTTATAAAGAATATCTCTTTGGGTTTGAGACTTTAGTCTTTGCAACTTTAGGGATCTTATCTATTCACGAACAGCTTGTAACACTCCAAAGAGAAAGGAAAAATTTAAATCGCATCATATGACCCCTTTAAAAAATCCTCTAAAAAGTAGCTATAAAACCGAAAATAATTTGAAAATAATCTCATACCTTAGCACCTGATTTTCCTGTTGACCCACGGGGTCCTCTCTGCCCTCTGGGACCCTAAAAAGATTAAAAAAAAAGAAGTCGTCTTAGAAAATCATTGTGCATTGCTTTACAAGTTAACTGATCTGAAATCTGTCATCTGCTTGAATCAACAACAGCAACTTTAACCTACTAAACAAATCAAACAATTTCAAATCAAATGAAAGCAAAAAGTGTTTTTTGTTTTTTAATAAATGGAACAGAAGATGAGAGATGAAATGATTAAAACAGGCTCTTACTGTTGGCCCTCTCTGTCCTCTTGGTCCAAGTTTTCCAATCAAACCCTGGAATGGGGAAAATCAGTTCAGAATTTTTCAGCATAACCAATTCTTTTCCAAAATAAAGGAAGATACTCTACGCGGGACACTGCATTGACCTCCCAGTGACATGTGATCAATACTTCTAACTCTTGAGTTTTAGTCCAATTTAGTCTAAAAAATCTTACCCTTGCACCTTTCTCGCCATTTGCACCAGGGAATCCTGGGAAACCGAGGGAGCCCTTAAAATACAAGCATTACATTGTTTGAAAAACGCAATATATTTGATGAAATGAATGATGGCTGAATATCACATCATGTTTCATTAACAATATTACTTTTGTTTACCTTAATTCCTTGCCTTCCGGGATATCCAGGAAGTCCAGGCACACCAAGTTTGCCCTGGATTGACATCATTTAAAAAGATTTAATACATCTTTAGACCAACTAAAATCTATATTTTTAATTAATAAGTTTTATATTCAGAAATATACATTTAATATAACAAACATAACATTTATATTCATTATAGCTTACTGCCAATATCAATGGCAATACAAAACATAGCTAAAATGATATATAATGGAACAAAATCAGCAATCACCACTCATTTTACATAAACTAACCTTCTCTCCAAGCAGGCCAATAGGACCAATTTCACCAGGGGGACCGACACGACCCTTCGGGCCCTCAGGACCGTCCTCTCCTCTTGAGCCAGGCACTCCCACCTCTCCCTGTTGGTGCACAAGTCAAGTGCTACCATTTGCTCTCATTTCACATTTGTGCTAATCAAATGCTAATTGATGAGTTTCTATTCACTGATGTTTTGTGATGCGCAAGACATACCCTCTCTCCCTTCACACCAAAGTCTCCTTTGATTCCAGTGAATCCGTCCTCTCCCTGAAAGTAAAGTAAAAAACATACGTTATTTAACACTGACCATTGCACAAATTGGTTTCAATTTATGTTTCAAAGATGACAAACTTGAAGTTTATGACCAAAAACACTCACCTTCTCTCCTTTATGGCCCTTCAATCCACGGATACCTTGAGCTCCCTGTCATAAAGCATTCGGTCTGTTATCTTAATCTGAGTCTTACAGGTGAAAGCAGATATCAACTATCAACAGCCATTACTAAAACATAAAACTCTCCACCAACAGAATTGTTCATAAAAATTACACAGGGTGATAAAAGGATTTTTTAATGATTAAGCTCCATAACATTTACACAGATTTAATGTCCACTGGAAAAAGACACACACAAAAAAAAACTATCTGCATCAAATTAATTGAAAAAAGATGCATATTATACCTTCACTCCCCGAGGGCCAGGATAGCCAATAGACCCCTGAGGACCATTAGGACCCTAAATATGAACAAGGAATATTAATGTCAAAATATGAACACTAGGATTTCTGCCCTGAAAATGTCTGTCTATATATATATATATATATATAACAAAGATATATACACTACTGGTCAAAAGTTTGGGATCAGTAAGACTTGTAATGTTTTTTAAAGAAGCCTCTTCTGCTCATCAAGGCTGCATTTATTTGATCAAAGATACAGAAAAAAAACAGTAATCTTGCAAAATGTTATTACAATATAAAATAATAGTTTCTATTTTAATATCCTTTCAAATATAATTTATTTATGTGATGCAAAGCTGAATTTCCATCAGCCATTACTCCAGTCTAAAGTGTCACATGACCCTTCAGAAATCATTCTAATATGCTGATTTATTATTAGAATTATCAATGTTGGCAACAGTTGTGCTGCCAAATAGTTTTTTGGAAACTGATACTTTTTTCAGGATTCTTTGATGAATAAAAAGTTAAAAAGAACAGCATTTATTCAAAATATAAATCTTTTCTAACAACATAAATCTTTGCTATCACTTCTTATAAATGTATCACATCCTTGCTGAATAAAAGTTTTAATTTATTAAAAAAAAAAAGAAAGAATAAAAATTAACTGACCCCAAACTTTTGAACTCTAGTGTATATTGTTAGAAAAGATTTATATTTTGAATAAATGCTGTTCTTTTTAACTTTTTATTCATCAAAGAATCCTGGGGAAAAAAGTATCACAGTTTCCAAAAAAATATTAAGCAGCACAACTGTTTCCAGCACTGATAATAAATCAGCATATTAGAATGATTTCTGAAGGATCATGTGACACTGAAGACTGGAGTAATGATGCTGAAAATTCAGATTTGATCACAGGAATAAATTTGATTTTAATGTATATTAAAATATAAAAATGTTATTTTACATCGTAATAATATTTCACAATATTACATTTTTTCCTGTATTTTTGATCAAATAAATGGAGCCTTGATGAGCAGAAGAAACTCATTAAAAATAGTTCTGATCCCAAACTTTTGAACGGTAGTGTATATATATATGATCTGAAGGCAAATGTCAAATGTTAAATGACACAAATTACATTTAATTTATGAAGCAATACAGAGAAATATACTAATTATTATGGTATAGACTCACCTGATTTCCTTTGGTTCCAATGGGGCCTTCCTTTCCGGGATGACCCTATTAAGACAAACCAGAATGGCATATTCTTTACCGCAGGTAATACCACATACATGTTCACTGAAAAAAAAAATCAGCACTCATCTAACACTTACAGGAGGACCGTCAGCTCCGGGCATTCCTGGCAGACCTGGCTTTCCTGTGGGTCCCTTTAAGAAGACATATGAAATGGCATTATTATTGCCATTGATTATGATCTCAGAATAAGACTGGACATGTAAGTTTGTTGTATCTTCTAAAGTGGTAATTCAGTGAAGCACATTCACTGATTATTAATAAGTATTGCTTTGTGTTCTGCAATCATAAAACACTCACCTTCTCTCCTGGTGGTCCGAGAGGACCCTGTGGACCTGACATTCCCTATTACACAGAAAAACATTCATATTAAATGTTTTGTACATTTTGTACATTTGTCTTTAAATCTGTAATAAACTTGTTGTTCACCTGTGTTCCTGGAGCCCCCTGCTGCCCTGGAGGTCCAGGCTCTCCTTGAGGCCCCTTAAAAGAGAGAATTGAACTTATCACGCACATATGCCAATTATTGCATATTTTTACACTGTTCAGGACTGTGCATTTAGAGTAATGTCAGAGAACTCAGATTTACTGACCAAGTTTCCTTTTGGACCATGTGGACCATCATTTCCACGAACACCCTGGCAGAGGCAGATAACATGGAGAAATGCAAGAAAGAAAGATCTGGAATTCTGGATATCCACGAACAAATCTTTCTTTTTCAAATCTTTCATTTTAATTTAGTGTTGCTGTGCAACTATTGCAATTAAAAAAAATAAACAACTTATTATGTAGTATTTGTAGTTAAGATTTCAATGAATACTCACAGGAGGTCCAGGAAGTCCAGAAGGCCCTTTAGGCCCCAGCAACCCACGGGGCCCCTACAGAACAACAAAGAGGTTCATCAAAGAACATACAATGAAATCTAAGTAGCCTTACAGACTTTAAATTGGAGAACAAAACCAAGTCATACAGGTCAGTGCTATCATACACAAAGTCGTAAGTGTGTACAGTGTCTGAGAAACAGAAACACCCACCGCTTCACCGGGAAGACCTCTAGGTCCAACATCTCCATCATCTCCCTGACAATCGTCAAGATGGAAGAGGATAATCAGAAAAAAATCTAACTTCAAAGTTCACATTTTTTATGCTTTATAAAGATGATGACAGATATTCAAGCAAATATGAGCAACAAAGATCAAGAGGATGTTCAGGCAGCATACATCATATTCACTATTGTTAATTTACTGTAACAGCACAAAATCCTTGAGAAGTACCCTTTCTCCGTCCTCTCCAGGGGGTCCTGGGGGTCCCATTCCTCCAGTTTGACCCTTAAAAAATGTAAATTAAATAAATTAACATTTTTAACATTATTATACGTACATCCTATAGCTATGTTACAAAATCTTTGAAATGAAAAAAACCCTTGATGTCTACTGTGTACACATTGGAAGCTGCATTCGATTTTGACCAAAAAAAGGTATCAAGCAGTAACTACACTGCCTTAAAAGCTCACTATGTTTTGGATTTACAAAAACATTAAAATGTCAGCACTTACACGATAACCCTTGTCACCAGGCAAACCAGGAAGGCCATCAAAGCCACGGTCACCCTAATATAGAAAAACATACACATTCATGATGAGTTCATAAACCAAAGATGCTCGCTCAAAAGACTCAGTCAAGGTCAACATGATTTCTATGTGGTAGACGTTTCAGAGGTGGAATAACACAAGAGTTTGAACAAAAATGGCTTCATTAAAGACGTCCAACCTTAACTCCGGGCTCTCCTGGCATCCCTCTGGATCCATCTGCACCAGCACGACCCTGCAGGAAATATCAATAATATAAGCAACTAGATAACTACATTTCTTGAGGGGAACACAAGAGGTGCCACCTAGATGCTAGGATGCGGTTGCTAAGGCGTTCTGGATTATTGCTAGGTAGTTGCTTACTGCCTTGAAGTTACTGTGATATTCTGGCCCATAGATAAAACCTGTGTCGATGTAAATCTGCGGGTTTTGTTTTTTATTTGTCAGGAACACTGTAGTGGACTCACCCTCCGACCAGATTTACCAGGAGGACCAGACAATCCATGAGGACCTCTGGGGCCCTGCAAAAACACAACAGGGATGCATGATAAATTAGAAGACTGTCTCTTTAGATTATATTGAAGATATGTCAGAGCATCTCAGAATGACTCAATGTGCTGCTAATGTTCTTGAGGCAAGACTAAGAGTTACAATGTCACAGAGACACAAATTCAGGACTTTACCTGAGGTCCATGGTCCCCACTTTCTCCCTTTAAGCCAGGACTTCCAGTTGTTCCCTATATAGGATCACAACATCAAGATGTAAGCACTTGACAAACAACATGTAATATTGCAACAGACATGTCTGTTGAATATCTATTTTATTTATTTATATAGTGTTTAGTTCTTTTACCAAAGGTCCTGGACGGCCGGTGAAACCCATTGGCCCTGGTGGGCCTTTCAGAGCCAACTAGACAGAAGACAATTCCATTAATACCAAATTAAGATGTATAATTTTAGACCTCAATGTGGAAAAAGTAATAAATAAATGTTAAATGATTGTTATATGACTATGTTATATGCTATTAACCCGAGCCTGAGACAGGATGGCTTGAGCTTGGGCCTCCTGTGCTGAGGCAATGGGCCCTTTTTCGCCAGCACTCTGTCCAAAACGGAACTGCAAGAACAGAGAAGTGTTTTGCAAATCAAGCAATAATTTATTTTACTTTTTTTATGCAACTTTGATGTGGGAGCTCAGGGAGAGCCGGTTAGAAATGATGTCCTAAATCACTTGCTTTATAATAATGGTGACAACTAGTGGTGATATGACTTTATGAACATCGAGAGAAAGAAAGAAAGGAGAGAAGACTTACAGGAAGCATGACAGAAGTTCCAGGAGGTCCTGGGACACCGTCCGCTCCAGGAAGACCAGCCTTACCAGTAGTACCCTACAGAAACAACAGCGGGATTGACTATACTGCTTTAAATTATAAACCCTCTCTACACCCGTTCTCATCCAATAGTGTCAGTGCATCGATGACATTACTGAATATTAAATGTCTTTTATACCCCAACAAAGCAAGCCAAAGAGGACAGTGGTGAGGAACCCAAACTCCATCAGGTGACAGAAATTAAGAAAAAAAAAAAAAACCTTGGGAGAAACCAGGCACATCTAAAGCATAAACACACACAAAAAACTGTCCACTCACCCTCTCACCAGGATCACCTACAGAACCAGGGGGTCCTTGGGGGCCAGCGGGGCCAGGGAGACCCTAATGCAGACAGAAAGATTGCATAATTAAGAGTGCATAATCTACACAAACCACAACTGTGAAACTTAATTTTTACCATAACATGCACTAGAATGTAATGGAAACAAGCTGGATAACTTGCAATGCTCAATATGGCAGATGTAGGAAAGTAAGTTATGCTTTTCAGTGAGGAATCAAACATTATTAGCTCAATTTTGGGGAGGACTGGGAATGCTAAGTGATCATAAATTCACTCAAAAGAGAATAAAGTGAACATACTGCTGGTCCTTCTGGTCCAGGTGGTCCTTCAATCAACATGCCCTGTGAGAGCGGTAAAATGAAGAAATTAAAGACAGTAATAATGCATTTAGAAAAGACTATTACATGAAATACATCACAATGGTATTTTGTAGCACCCTCTGGTGGCCTGGATGAACTATATGTCTAAACAGATGCAGTAGTTGCATTTTTTGCATAATTTACTATTTCCAATTCCAAATGTTAACCTTTCTCATAATGGTTTGATTATGGAAGTATGATGCTTACAGGTTCAAGGACAGCAGGGTCTCCCTTCTCTCCCTTCTGGGCTTGCACGTAGGCCTGAGGAAAACAGATATGTAACCCAAAACAGAGCCCAGTCAATATACAAACAGAAGAAACCATCAGTCCAAGATGTTCAGGTACTAGCTAAGCATTATACACCCACCTACATTACATATTATAACTCTTTTTGTGGATGTGACCCATAATCCACTGAATCTCAAGATTTACCTGGACTGATAAATTATTTTTAAGGAAGTTAAGCAGATACTTAGCTGACCAAGCAGGCTTAAAATTTCACTTATCTGCTGTTGTGAGGCCATCCATTTAAATATTGAACACTGTTGAGACTGAAGTAGCCACTATACACTTTTATTTTTGTATATGCAGGTCTACAGCATGTTAAAACATACTGAACAGCTCTGGCGCTGAAGTCAAGCGTCAAGTGGTGGTGCCCTTCCAAAAAGATACTGCTGTTCTATGCTGATCAAGATTAGGACTGCTCTCAGATCAGCATAAGAGCAGCTGAGTCAACAAATACTGATGGTGCTGCTGAACTAAGCACTCTATGCAGACTTGCAGAGGAATCTTGTGCAGAAGGAGTTGTGTTTAAGTCTTGTGATAAACAAGGTTTCCTGGCAGGGGAACCGTTTCCTGTTGATGGCATAACTTGCTGAACCATTACGCTAAGCAAACTTGATTCAGTCTTAAGTAAACACTGAATGCAAATTTACAAGTTGACTCTGAAGTTCTCTTCCAAAACCTAGTGAGCAGCCTTGCTGTCAACTGCCTACCAGTGCTGTTACTGTTAACTAAAACGAAAAAAAATCGTTAATTGATACAGAGCCCTGGACATGACATACAGCGAAAAAAGTAAAAGATATCATGGCCATAAATTAAGAATTCGCTTCCACAACTAATCAGTTTGTTCCATTGTTTCAGTTAAATCGTGGTCACTTTACTTTGAACCCACATTTTAATTTAGTTAAATCGTGGCCATGAGGGACTACATTAATATATCATTAGAATTCATTCTTAATTTCAGTCTAGGCAATTCACTAGGTTTTGGAATAGAGCTCAAGTCTTGGACCAGCATTTAGACCAACAGCAGCGCTTAGCTGGTCTTAACAACTACCTGCTTGATGCCTCTGCAAGATTTAAAGCCATTGCAAATTCAATTTAAGCTTTTATCAAAGCTTATCAAAGGAATTTGCTAGAAAGCACAAGGTAACTTACACCTCCCTCATCTGTCACAGCGGACAGGGCAGGGCCAAAGGTGTCTTCCGGCTTGCTTTCGATGATGGGCTCATTGTAGTCCTTGTAGGAATAGTCATACTCCTTCATTCCAAAGTCGCTTGTAATGTACTCCTCAGTGAAGGGTTCGTCTGGCGTTTGAGACACTCCTTCACCACCTGACTTGGTCGCATCTATGTCCTCGACGCCGACAGTCTCGTCCACCTGGGCCGTACCATTGGGAGCAGAGGTAGGGGTGGAGTGGATGGTTTGGAGGATGGAAGATTATATGGTGTGATGGGGCAGAAATGGATAGAAGATAGGAAAAAAGAGAGGAAATGAGAGGGCAAAGAGACAGAATAATCAGAATAATAGATCTTACCTGTTGTAAAAAACAGATATGAGAGAGGGGCAAACATCCACACACAGGCACAGGTTTACAGACACAGACACACACACACATAGTACACAGACTGATCTCACCAAAATAGTCCTCTTCGTGTCTTATTTACCACTTTATTGTTCAGTCTAAAGGCCTGTTCACACCAAGAATGATAACCATAAAGATAACTATAACTGTATTAGAGTTCAAACCAATAGACAATATCATTCTGTATATTAAAAAAAGTGACGTGACGTGGTGACCCATACTTGGAATTAGTGCTCTGCATTTTAACCCATCCAAAGTGCACACACACAGCAGTGAACACACACACACACCGTGAACACACACCCGGAGCAGTGGGCAGCCATTTATTGCTGCGGCGCCCGGGGAGCAGTTGGGGGTTCGGTGCCTTGCTCAAGGGCACCTCAGTCGTGGTATTGAAGG